GGGAGGGGTATAAACAGTAAACATACCTTCCTGAAGACTGTGGCTATAGCAGCACTCCGCACCCTGATGGCCACACAGTTGGTGAGAAACTGCAAGGGGAAGTCGAAGACAGCAGTCACAACTTTCGAGGCCAGCAGTGCTGTTGCGTAGATGTAGCCGTGCCATGTAAACTCGCCCAGATTGGCCGTGAAGTCAATTAAGAACCTGTATATGAAACGAAGTCAATAGAAGATACACGACACTTTAATACTAGTCTATAGCCTAATATAAACTTTATAAACTTCAAAATGTTAGTCCAAAAGGCATGGAAAGGAGGGGGGGGGGGGCACAGAGAAAAAATGATAAATAACGTAATCAGAAGTTAAATAGGCAAAGCATCAATACTAACCTGGATTTTGTTTATGCTAAGCGGACACTTAATATCAGATCGCCAGCAGACTAAAAGGTAATGTTGCTGCACATTTCAAAGTGTTATACACAAATCAGAAACACGAACTTGCATAGATCATAGTACCCATGCTAGTAGCCTGCCCTGTTATGTTTCAGATAAAGAAAACAAGTGAAAAAATATGTATCGAACACCATGTTATCCCCTCCCCACACACACACAAAAGCGGTACGCCTGCTAGCGTTGTCAAATCGCTATCCTAGAATAACAAGGTTCTATCTGCTTAGTGCCTAGTTTTGAGAATTTTGAATTAAAATATTGTGTTTCATAACATGTCAAGCTTTATCGAATGCAATTCTTTGAATATTTTGATTACGACTCCAAATATTCTGACGATTTTGATAGAGAAGATAGAACACGAATATTATTATGTATCTGACCTCCTGGTCTTTGTAGTTCAAAACGGCCCAAAATATCAGGTACGTTTAACTTTGTAATTCAAAGGTAGTGAATTGCGAGTGCCCAAAGAGTTAAACGGATCGTTTACCCTAAAATGAAAGGATTGAGGATGTTCATAACAGCGACAACCACCATGCCGATCTGTGCTTCAACTGCCTCGAACCAGTAACACCGGAACAAGGCGGTGAAGAAAGAAACCTTTGAGGTTTCCTGGCCATCAACAGGAGTTTCAGTTCTCGAGTGAGTAGCGCTTGAAGTTGCGTTTCCTTCATTTTCTTGCTTATCCACGCCATACAATGAGGTGGAGCTAGAAAGGAGGGGTGTCTTTTCGTTGTCCGAGACTGGTTTGCCTGATTGACGCCTCCTGACTCGTTTCCTGTATGGCAAAATGACAAAAATAGTTTTAAAACACTGAACACTATTGTTTTTTTTATATTGCTTCTCCTCTATACAAAAGTTCCATATGTCGGCAAAGTATGCAATGTTACAAAATGAAATATTTCGTAGCTTCTTAAAGGAGTGTGCTGTCGGTCCAGTTGGTATAATGCTGGACAACGTTAGAAAGGAATTTGGACTGTGTCCTCAAATTTGTCATGCCTGAACTTGATGGAGTTTCCAATGCTCTCTACCACCCTCTCTTTGTCCTGTCAGAGGTCCCGCAGTTTACATGACGTGAAGCTCTTAGTAAACAATTTTAAACTGCTCTAAAAGTACCCAAATCATGTAGTTGAAAAATGTATTTCTGTATTTTATGATCAACAGAATTCATCGCGTGGAGTAGCTCCTCTTTTTTTTAATTTTTGCACCACCCATGAAGAATGCTTTGCATAGCTTTAACTTTATCACGTGTAGGATCTTTGTCAAGATGGAGACCAAATACTTACTACTCAGCAAGTCAATTTTAATTCTTCTCTTTTGGTCAGACAGACGCATGTAGAAGACGTAAGATCATGGCGGCGCGGAGAGGCTATACGCACACCTATTGTTTTTGCTGCTGCTGCTGCTGCTGCTGCTGCTGCTATTGCTGCTGTTATTGCTACTGGTATTGATGCTCCTCGTGGTAATGAGGCTAGCAACAACAAAAAAAGCGTGTAACAGAAGGAAGCTGATGGCGAGGGGCCACACCTGTTTGAGCGTGTCTTAAGTTGTTGCCACTGGTGAAGAAGCTTGTTCACCTCTTTGGTGCTCTTGTCTCGAGGGTTCAAATCGAAGACGTCCCCGTCCACGAGTGGAGACTTGAAGCCCTTCAGCAGAAGTCTGAAAGAGGCGATGCATAAAAAAACCCACGAGTTGTTATGAACTGATAAGAATAGTTTTTTTGCTCCAGATATTCGCACATTGAAAAGGGTGAAAAAGTAAGTTGTTCTCAACAATAAACTGTCATCGCAGATTATTTTCCTATCTGCGTTAAAGACGCAATAATGTTACAAAACCGAATACGGAATTCCCCAATTTGGTAGTTTGTACTTTCTTTAGTATTACTATAACCCACCAATTTATCATCTGTCAATGGAATAGCCCATTTGCTCTTTAATAAATACATTCATCGCCGCATTTATCATACTGGTTGTTCATTTGATAATAAATGCAATTATATAGGGCATATCCATGTTCTTCAGCATTCTCTATGCACTTTACACTGTTATCACCACCACCGACCCTTGACCACCCACAAACATTCCCAGCGTCATCTGAAGCATACAGTACAAACAGCCGATAATGCTCTCAAACACTTATAAACTGATAAGGTCTTTAGTCGTTCAACTATTCGTCTATATTGTACTCACCGGATTATGAAAGAACGAATCGTCTCTTTGTAATCGATCTTTGTTTATTTAGTTAGTTATTTTCGCATTCATTCTATCTTCTTCAATTCCGTTCTCTTTTCAGAACAAAATTCGAGTTTTTTTCTCTCTTTTGAAAACAATATCAGCCACTTATCAGAACTACACAAATAAGGTTTTCTTTAAAAACAATAACCTTGAGGAAAGTTGGAGTTTTTTGAAAAATAATCAAGCACAACAATTATACCATTGAACTTAGCCATAACTCGCCAACCTCCTAATAACTGGGGAGAAAGAATCAGAAAGCTGATTACAACACATATAACACACACAACAGCAGGTGTTGTTAAGGCAATGTTTTACCATCTTCATCATCTCTCATGGATACAACTTCAATTGGATATTATAAGATATGGGGCGTAACGTGTCAATCTAATCTTAAAACCCTTTCCGCAGTGATTGGGTGTAACCGGGGTGTAATCCACCCAGTGACCACCTTTAACCTAGGATATCTCTAGTTCTATGTTTGTGAATATTTTCAAACTTAACGTAATCCTCAAATTGACCCTTATGAACATGATGTTAACGCAAAATGTTAGAATTGTCCGAATGATGCAAGCAGTTGGCGATCAAAATAACTCACCGGTCAATCCAGCTGAAACTGATCCAGGATGACATGGAAGCAGACAGTTCCGGGTTGTGTCCCTTTAGAAAAATACATGACAAAGGTGGTAAACAAAGACAAGTTTATGCGCGCGCGCGCGCGTGTGTATGTGTGTGTGTGTGTGTGTGTGTGT